TTATTTTGTGACAATGGTAATCTTTTTGTTCAATAGAAAAAAGTCTTTTCAATAGTCTCAATAAATGGTGCTGAGTCAACTGGATATTAAAATAGGAAAGAATAATGAATGATTATATCCATTTAAGTTAAAATATAGGAAAAACTAAGTAATAGTGCACAGTTACTTAGATTGTAAAATTGTAAAGCGACTGCTTTCAATATGAAGACTGTGTGACTTCCTTTTTTGGGAAGGTGAGGCTGTTAGGGGGAAAAGGATGTCCTAAAGCTAATTCCATACAGGCTTTGTGGACTCCACCCCCACTCCAGACCAAAGGCATCAGGACATTGGGAGAGACAAATCCCATCACCACCAAAGGGAAGGTTGCTGGAACCTGAGGGTGGGGTTAAGCAGCCAGGTTTGGAATAAAACTAGACACGTGGGGGGAATTCCCTTATTTGGCTGTCCGCCAGCTTGCAGTGCTCAGCCGGCTCTGGAGTGGGTGAGGACCCACAGCCAGGCAACCCGTTTTTATATCGGGGCTGCTCTGTAACAAGGCTACTGGTTGTGGTGGGGAGAGGAGAACTTTCTGGGTACAGAAAAGGTTCTAGTCCTTCACCTGGGTGGATGTTTACACAGGTGTTTTCTTTGTAATGTATTGGCATTGTTTTGTATCCCTTTCTGTAGGCATATTTTAACAATCAATAGGAAAAATTCTTAAAAATTATTATCTTCATTTAAAATACTGTATTAAATTTAACTGTCCTTTTAGATTGCTTGAAAACACCCCAAATCCTTGACCTAATTATTTTCCAATATTTCACAATTAATCATTTTGTTTCATTAATTTACTTCCATATTTTAGTTCCTACATTACTTTGCATTAATTTGGCAGAGAAAATAAATATTGAATGAGAAGTAAATGCTCTGATGTCATCTAAATAATCACCTTGTTTCATCTTAGATGACTCTGCATATTTATTTTGGTTTCAGAACTGACTCCAAATGTAAAAGTAGAGTAAAATCACTGAAGGGAGGACTTTTAAATAAGCTGAGAAAAATTCTTTTATGTTTCTAACTGACCCACTTTATCAACCATATTGCATGATAAAGGTTATTTATATCATATATTTATATAGTAAAATGAACCTTATTTCAAGCAAAATTCTATTGCCTATTTTTTTAGCCTTACTTTTGAGATAACTGGTTGATAGCACTGTATAATATTTAGAGGAATAGGTTTATGCTTCCTAATAATGTACATCACCACACCCCACCTACCCTAAAGACCTGTATCCCTTTATGATATCCCACTCGCCCCCCCTTTGTTCCCACACTCTCCCCCACTAGTAGCCTCATTTCTGCAGTTATATTTTTAGACTTTGTTTTGGTTTAGTTTTGTCAGTTTCCTTGTTTTGTTTACATTCTACATATGCATGAGATCATATTATAGATAATTAAAATATCACCACTAAATATAGGTCAAACCACTTTATGGACAACTTTTATATTTATAAATTTATTTCTAAAAAATATAGTCTAATATTTCTGTCTCAGAGAAAGAAATTAAGCAGTTGGTTTTTAAATACATTGAATGATCTGAGATTTAACCTTACTTGCAAGCTAGCAAGTTAGTTGGCCACAGTTTCATGAAGGCTGGTAGAAAACCCAAAATTCCTGGGTTAGAGATAAAGTACTTTATCATTCAGGCACAGGAAGCAGTTTTATTATACACATCAGCGCAATTTGCTCTGGTTTCCTGAGTCCCAATTCCCACAGATCTAAGAGAAGAGGGTCAGGTGATATTTGCACACATAGTTGGTAACTGTATAGGAAAGTGACTCTGAGTTCACAGAACTCAAATAAGCCTGCCTGCCCTTTGCTCAGGAGAGAGACATTCTCTTTCCCCAAAGCTTAAAGTAAATCTACCTTTCTTTCAGATGGAGTTACTTCCATCTCTAGTTTCCAGGACCCTTCTGTTACAGGACAGGGAGAGGGGCACTCCAAAACCCCTAAACCTGCTGATTTTTGCCATCAGCTGCCACTAGGTATACTCTAGTGCTTAATACCTTTAACAGAAAAAAACATCAATACAATCAGTGTGCAATATAGAAAAGGGGAAGAATGGAGAAGAATATAGTTTCCAAATCAAGCACCCAAAGTTACCCATCCATTCCCTCATGGGTAAATACCCAGCCAAACAGAGTTGGCCCAAAGCCAGGCTCTCTGAGGCCTGAAAGCCCATCACAGGTCTAAGGCACCTCCTGGTGGGAACCCATAGGAAAGAGGCAGAAACAGCCAGACAAGTCTGGAAGGAAAAGAGCAAAATCAAAATCAAGATCAACACTGCCATTGTTAACCTCCCCATGGGCCAGACCAAGACCAAAACCTAAGTGCAGCTTCTTCATATGTCTCTCAGCTCCATGTGCCTCCTCCAGGTCTCCTTCTGGCTCTCCATCCTGCTTCCTTCCTTCCTCAGTCTCCTCTCCAGTTTTTTCTCCTCCCTTCTCAGTTTCACCCTCCCTTGGATGGGGCAGGGAACCTGGAACCTCCCCTTTTCCTGGGGGCCACCCAGTTACAAGGTTGTTCCAAAAGGGGAGCTTATACTGAAACATAAGAAATTCATGGAAAATTGTGTGTCAATATTGGTGATGGTTGATACTCCTTTGTACAATTGATAGGAGACAACTTTTTCTCCATTTCTCCATTATCATATTGCATCTCAGAACGCTCTCAGTAATCACATGAAGTGTTAGAAGACCTTAAATATATATATATATATATATATTTACATAGATTTGTACACACACTTATCTGTGTGGTTTCTTTTCTTTTCTCTCCCATTTAAATGTAAATTCCTTGAGAATTACTGTGAGAGATTTATTCTCTCATTCTGAGTCCTACATCACTTTGCATTAGTTAAATTAATAAAATAGCTTAGGTTGGCCAGTCTCTTTCTTTTGTCAACACCATTACTAGAAGAACAACAAAAAACATGTGCCTGTAATTGGAGGAATCTAATATTCAGTAGTCCCCATGGATGACTTTTTTTTTTTTAATCTTTAAGACCATCTATCCATAGAATCTGGGACAATGCCCCACAGTTAAATAAACGTAGAGCTGAGTTGTCTTGAACACAGGACCCCATCTTCAGTTTGTACCCAAGAACTGCCCTTAGTGACATGCTCAATAATACATGCAGCACTGTGCGAATAGAAAAATTTCTTTCCCTCAAACCCATAAACAAGTCATTTTCAGCTTAAAGACGCATCTTCATTTGTGATGGATAACTCTAGTATACAGTTGTGTAAAAACGCGTAAAGGTGGGATGTGTCTTCTGGAATAATGGCCTTATTGTCAGATGAGAAGTGAGTCAAGCAGTGCCTATTTTTTCCCTTTTCTGAAAACTGTTTTGTTTGTTTATTTGGCTGTTTACTTCTTTTATTTTTTTTTTTTTTGGCTGCCTTGCTCATTTTATCCCCTTCAATAAGTATTTAGCAGCCACAGTGTATACTTGAAATACTATTTATATAAGTTCCTCCGGAGGCTTAATCATGAACGCAAGGCTTTGAAACCACCCTGGTCTTTTTTTTTTTTTTTTTCTTCCTAAATTAAACATTTCTGCCAACAAATGCGCAAAGTACAAAATGTTTCCGTCCTCCTTCCACATCAAATTACCTCCTACAGGAACCAGAAAATTGTGTCAATGTGAATTACCATCTCCAACAGCTCCTTGCCAGGCGCTCAGGGGTCAACCTACAAAGGGCGAGAGAGGGGCGTGGAGGGGGGGGGGCTGCGAGGGGACCTGCCCCACCTGGCTGGGCGATGCCCTCCCGCGTCGCCCGCCGGGGCGTGCGGACCAGAAGCTGGAGGAGCTCGGCTCGGGGGGGATGCTTGAATGCCAGGATTTTGCATCCTACTCAAACGAGTCGGGGAGCAAGCAGCGGAGTGCGTGCGCGAGCTGAGTGAGTGCTTACGTCGCAGCGAGATCGGTGCTGGGATAATTAGAGAGGAGTTGGGCTGAGCGGAGTCTTTGAGCAGCGACAGCTGAGCAGCAGCCGCAGCCGCCCCGAGGGGCGCGCGCCACACCGATCCCCCCGGCGCGCACCGGGAGGGGCCCGCGCCCCGCACCCGCCACCCCGCCGCGCGCAGGCCGCAGCCGCTCGGGACCAACAAAAGCGGCAGCCGCCCGCGGGGCCTTCTGTATCCTGGAGGTGGAGTTCTGCGCCCCCACTCCTCGGCTCCCCAGGCGGGACTGGCCGGGCCGGGCGAAGACCGGTGACCGCGGTGGCCGCGGGGCGCGCCCCCCGCCCGTGCAGCTGGGAGAGGCGGCGGGCTGCGGGCGGACGATGTGGCCGCGGCCGCTCCTCGGCGCCTCTTCTGCCCGGGCTCCCGCTGTCACCCCGCTTCTCTGCCCGCTCCATCCCGCCGAGAGGAGTTGATGCAGCTGTAGCTGCCTTCGCCGCTGAAGCCGCGGCTGATGGATGCCAGGGAGTGCCGCATTGCTTAGCGTCCCCGCCTCCGGGTCTGCTGGTAAGAGCCGGCTGCTCTTTCTTCTCTCTTGCTTTGGGGTTTTATAGAAAAGGTAGAGAATATTTAATTTTATCTTCCACTCCTTTTCTCTCCCCCCCACCCCAACCCCTCCATCCCTCTGCCCCCCCAGCCTCAGCTTTTGAAAGGTACCTACCGGGAGCGATGGCCCCCACCCCCACCCCTCCCCGAGGCAAGTCCGCTGAAATGAAGGGCTTCAGGGAGGCAGAAGTTGGGGGTGGGGTTGGGGGGAGCCCACGCCGGTACCAACGCCACCAGAAACCCTGCTGGTGCCTTATGAGATCACGGTGTATCTAAGAGGGGTGGTGGGAAGCTGCACTATCTGCAGCATCTCCACCTAATTGGATCATGATCATTTAAAATCAAATCTCACAAATGTCTTTTTAAAATGGCATTTTTGAATAAGCAGAAGGAAACATAGCTCCTTTCTTCCCTCTTTTTCTCTTTTTCTTTCTGGCAAAGACTTGTCTCCCCGCCCTGGAGCTCAGCGCTGAAGAGCCTCCTCATTATTAATCAGAATTCTCATCGTTATCCTTGGCAGGCGCAGCCTCCAGCGGGGACCGCAGAAGCATCACAGTGCAGGGGTGAGATGTGCGTGGGGCTTGTTTTTGTTACATCTTGGAAGAGAAGAGGACTGTACCAGGATCAGCATCTTCCGTGCTGGGTGGGATTCGGAGTGGTTTGTTAGAAGGGAGAAGGACTAAGAAGTGGAGTGCTGGGCCCGCCAGAGGTCCACATCCCTTTAAAGCAAAAGGAAGAGGGAGCCACATCTGGATGTTGTTTTTTAGGGAACAGGGAAGAAGTTTCTATCCTTCATAGAAAACCTGTGGGGAAGCAGGAGCAACAGGGTAATTGATTGGACACCCAGAGAAATAATTTCCTGTGAAGAAGAGGAAGCAGGCGGCAGCTGGAGTGTGGTGGTGGCCAGGGCTAGGTTTGTTGTGGGACAGTCAGCAAGGTCAGCAAGAGGAAGGGAAGCCTGAGGAACAGGCAGAACAATGACTCATTTACAAGCTGGTCTCTCTCCTGAGACCCTGGAAAAAGCTCGCTTGGAGCTCAATGAGAACCCAGACACCCTCCACCAGGACATCCAGGAGGTGAGGGATATGGTCATCACCAGGCCGGACATTGGCTTTCTGCGCACGGACGATGCCTTCATCTTGCGCTTCTTGAGGGCCAGGAAGTTTCATCACTTTGAGGCCTTCCGTCTCTTGGCCCAATACTTTGAGTATAGGCAGCAGAACCTGGACATGTTCAAAAGCTTCAAGGCCACTGACCCTGGCATCAAACAGGCCCTGAAGGATGGCTTTCCCGGGGGCCTGGCCAATCTGGACCACTATGGCAGGAAGATTTTAGTGCTTTTCGCTGCCAACTGGGATCAGAGCAGGTAAATCCTACATCCAAACTTGTGCTAGGGAGTCTTTTACTCTCCCATTTCCCAGAATTGACCCCAAGTACCTGTCAGACTTTTACAGCTTTGATGTTGTTTAATTGGGCTAGTAAAAAAAGAGAAAATGGAAACAATAAATGAGTTTGGGGTAGGCTGGGGGTGGGGGAAGGTGGGCAAAAGGCTTTTATTTTGTCCTTTGAAACTATTTCTTCATTAGCACCCAGTTTCTACTGCAGCTTTAAGTGCTTCCAGAACCATATTATCATGGTGCAATCTAAATCATCCAACTTCTAAATAAGGTGTTTTTGCTTCACCTCCTGGATAAGTTTCCTGTGTATGGAGAAATGAGTGTGAGAATGAAGATTCTTTCTCCTCTCTCCTAAAGGAATTCTTGAATTAATTTCATCATTATAGCATCATCATCATCATTATCATCATCATCTCTCATTAGCATTAAGGTTTTGTTCTTTCTTTAAAAAAAAAAAAATAGGCTGCCCTTCAACCAAGATCAAGTATTTGTATTGCTTGGAAGCTTTTCTGCTGGGTGATGTGTAGATGAAGGAATAATCCGATATGTGTCACTTCAGTGGAAAGGAAGAGTTGTAGCCTCTCTTGCTGAGTGTGCCTACTGACACTGAAAATCAAGGCTGACTGGTGTGCTTGTTCTACACCTGTCACTAATCTAAAGACTATGTTTCTTGTCTGATGTGTTTCTTGTCATCTTTTGGAATAAAATGGAAAATGTTCAGATGTATCAGTTGGTACACCTTTTGAACTCTTTCTTTTTAATGGAGGGTAAATAATACTCTTATTTCATCTACACTATAATATAAAAATACAGACAGTGATTCTTCTGCCATCTCCATCAGCATTATTTTCTTTGACTGAAAGGTAGAGGAAATTGAATAGACTCTTTGGTAAGGTAGTTTCAATTAAGTACAAAGTTAAATTTATTTTATGGAACTTAAAAATGCTGCCAGAACTGTGAATCATAAGAAGCTGGTTCTTAAAGCTTTGGTGTGTGTGTGTGTGTGTATCTATATATATTTTAAAGATTTATCTATGCATACAAGAACTGGGGTACAGACCAGACGGGTGGGGGTGAGGGGATTCACCAGAGACAGAGTGGGGAACAGAACAGACAGATTGACTAAAATACACTGCTGAGGGGAACAGCAGGCGAGTCAAGAGAAGTCCTGCTGCGCCATGTTGGTAGCTCCCTGGCCGGGGATCGAACTCTTGCTGCAGTGGCTGAGGATAGCATCATAGGTTGCGTCTTAACCCCTTGCGCCACCAGGGAGGCCCAGCTTTGGTATTATTTTTTGTTCTGTGAATGGTGACTTTCAATACATATGGTGAAAACCATCGCTGGAGCAATTATAAAAGACTTTTGCAGTTACTGAGCACTCATAGATTTCCAAATAGGTTTCTCAGAGACAGGATCTTAGAATATAAATTAATATTTAACAGCTTTCTCATTTCAATTTGTTACCTTTTCTCTATAATTCTAGATAGAATTGAGAGTACTCTGGTTAATTTTAGGTAAAATAAAGGCAAACTGTTACTGAAGAAACATGAAGCTAAGAAACTCAATGAAAGAGTTAGCTGCTAAGGGGAATGGAGTTCTGTTACTTTAGTTCATTGTAGAGGTTACTCTTTGTTAGACAGAAAAGTTTAAAGGACTATGAAAATGCCATCTTTTTAAGCAATTTTTCTTTAAAAAGTTTTGTACCTGAGAAATACATTGTAGCATCATGCAAACCAATGATTGTGTATTAACAAAATTGAAAAAAGATATTCAAGAAAGAACTTAATATTAAATATGTCAGATTGGAACTTTATTATTGACCTACAGTGAAATAGGGACTGTGGAAATTTGATATTTTAATATGGCTATAAATCTGTTAAAGATACCATTAGCAAGGCAGGTTGTATTCAGAGAAAAATGCATATACATTAGACATACTATTATTTATTTATGTAAATATCTATTATTTACACTGTACATTTTATATAGGAATCATGAACCTAATTAAGATGAACATCACTTATAGTTCTCATGTAGATGGGAAGGTTATTATTTTGGATTTAGTAAAGAAACTTTTTATTGACTATTAAATGCTTTCATATAAAAATAGTATAAAGAATGCTAATAATCAAAATGTATCTCTGAAGATCACAGTGAGAGGATTTATTAACTAGTATGTAGAACTCATTTTATTACACCTCCACAATATCTTAAATATTGGAACTTTTGTGAATGTAAAATTAAAAATGAGAAGCTATGTCTTGTGAAAATACCCATCAAGACCCATAGACAATTGAGAATTCTATTTCAATGTTTGGAAATGAATAGGTATAATCAAGGCTTTAGAGTACTTCCAAGGTCAAAAGTTATAAAAGCTATTTAGAGATTACTTAGCTGAATTTCCTCCTTGTATAATTGAAAAAAGTTTTTTCCCTTCTCCTTGCCTGCTTTCTATCTCACATCTGTGTGTACGCAATGGCAAGGATGAGTGGATAAACAAATCTATCCTCTTGGCATCCTCTGTAAACTTTATATCATTGGGATATGTGCATAAGGACGGTCTGCTTGCCCTGAAACATGCAGGACAGCTGCTTTTCTGGCTGTACTTACTAGATGTCCCTAACCCTTCTGCAGTTGTCCTGAATCCCTTTCTTCCACTCTGCAACCTCAAGGTTTGTGTGAATTCACTCCTACAGAAGTTTGCAACCTTCTTTAGATGGTTACTTCACTATTGCTCTGTTAGGTGGATGTATGCCATGTGCTAATCCTTCCCCCACTTCTAGCCCCTCCTCTGTTCTGAGCCGGTGTTTTTGCACCTTCGGCTAGTCCAAGACAACCTGCATCTCTTGGAATGACTGCACAATCTGAATATAATTCTGACCACACTCCTTGAATTGTTTAGTGAATTAAGTAAATTTCAATAACTTTTTAAAAATAATTTTTTAATAGTTGCATCACTTTAAAGGAATGAATGGCATTGTTTTAAAGAAACACTAGGTAGGGATTATCCAGGGAAATTCCAGAAATGAAGTACAAGAAAATTCCTCTCTTTAATTGGAAAATTAAACTTCCCAGAGAGCAAAGCAAAAGTTTTTAATGCATATTTAAAAACATTACAAAGATTCTTGAAATAATTGATCTGTATTGCAAAATAGACTTGTCTTTGCTATTATATTATCATATTTATAACAGCACCTCAGTTAGAGTTAATGCTTTTTAAATATTTGAGTTGAATTGCATTATACAGTACAAAAAATTTGAAGTAGGAGATTATCAAAAGTATACTTTCTCCTGTAGTAAATTTGTAGGACAGTTCTCTTTCTTCCCTAGGAGACTGGAAACAATAAATGAGTGTGAGAGATGGTGACTATAAATAAAGTCGTATCTCTACAGCAGTGTAGTGCAGGTCAGTTTTAGGTTATTTTTAAAGAATTGGACCATTTCCAGTGTCTTTACAGGAAACATGGAATCTTCAGAAAGATCTAAGTAAAATCATATTTTACAATGTACACATCTTCTAATAATTAAAGAAAACTAATCAAAATACTGGAATGTCAAAATGACTTTCACTGTGATTTCTGGATCTTTAAAAATAATGAAACAGACTCATGATTTAGTACATCGATTGTACTTGGAAAACTGTCATGCGACTTTATCTCTTTTGGATTAACTAACAACATTTCTGAAAATAAAAGAAAATTTCACAAATTTAAAAAGATTTGGATTGTTACATTGCAATTACGCACACAGTAGCCCTCCATGCATTCATTACAAGTTGTATTCCTTTCCTGATTGTTAATGTCCTGCTTCGGACTCAGAAGATAACCTTTAAATTTCCATGTGATTTCACCAGCAGAATGTGAGGATAATGTACCATAAAGAATGTGATGACACTGTCATAAAAAAAGGAAGTTTGGAATGAGAGTAGATCTTAGGCTAGACCCTAGGGCATGGAAACAGGTGTCTGAGAAGATGAAATCCACTGGCCCATAATTTTGGGTAATATTCATTAGTAAATGGTGTCACCTGAAACATAATGAAGACATTCGCTCTAATAGTTGGCCTATAAATTTTCAGCTACCTTGCAAGTAGTATTGTACTTCTTAGACTTATAAAGTAGTTCTCTACAGCAAACAATCATTTATCTGGAATCTGATTAATAACTTAGAAGATAATTAGATCCACTAAACTAAAATGATTCATAAAATAATGGCAATTCAAGAAGTATTGAACATCACTCTATGTTTGACTTGTCACGATAGATAATGTTTATTGTTTACAGTATTGAAGTTTTGGAAGTAGAAAAAATGACTGACTGTACATTGTTATGATCCTCTAATTATTTGTGAATTTGCCTAAAAACTAAAAACTATTCTCTTTAGGTTGTTTTTATTCTGTGATTTTTTTCATAAAAAAGAAAATATATAAATAACCAGTTATTAGCAGTTATTAGCAGCTTCAGTTTGAATTATGGTATGCGCCCACTGATTAAACTTCAAAAGGAAAGAACGTTATGATAGTGGTAATTTAAAATTTAAGAAACAGCCACAGACTATACAGGTTTGCTTTAACCCCAACCACATTGTTTTATTCTTCTCTGGAAGTGAACTTAAATGAAGTAAAATAAAATGAAATAAAATGACTAGGGATAGATTAGAACAGTTAAGGGCAATTAAGAAGGTAATTAGGGAGAAAGTCACATGTGATAATCTTAGAAACTAAAAGACAAGAGAAATAGAATATTTTTGCAAGACTTGTCTTTATTTATTGAAATACTAATTTTTTTTTTCCCAAAAGTTTGCTTTATGGTGATGTCATATATAGTGGTAGGGTCAGAACTTACTGTCTTCAAAATACAGAGGCATTGCAATGCTGTGTTTTAGGCAAATTCTGAGGCAAATTAAATCAAAACTAGAAAATGGCAGATGTGGATTTGATGGCATTCTGTCCTAGCAGAGCTTCTGTACTG